TTTAGTGACAAATATGGTACTTCCTTGAGAGAAAAGATACATAAGTAATAGCATAATACTACATTATTTGTGTCCCCTAAAGTAAAGTGTTAGTTAATGAATAGAACCAATAATAAAATAAGCATGTATAACACACTTACATGCAGTGGCTGTGTCAGTGATTAAATGTTGCAGGTGTTATACGGGAGCTGGATTGTGTATTGCGGATGTCATACGCTGTTACTCAAACCAGTCTGGGGGGGGACCTCTAAACAGCAGCCAAATATTATAAATAAATAAGTTAAACATACACATATACCCTTCAAACCAGTCCGGGGGGGACCTCTAAACAGCAGCCAAATATTATAAATAAATAAGTTAAACATACACATATACCCTTCGTGTTCACAGAGGCTCCAGTAGGAGTGATCTGGTCTGGATCGGTACAAGAATGGAGGAAGCTGCTTCTGAAATGAGCCCCCCTGTGGAGTGTAAAACAAAGGGAATTGTAAGGTAAGACAGAACCTGTGTGTTTGTACTGCTTTATGAACAGACATTAAAACATCTATCCAGCATTTTTGAAAGAGAGAGTAATCAGTTATAACTTATTTTACTTCCTTGAGACTTTGTAGACTATTGGGAACTCGGGTTCCCCATGTAAAGCTAAATTTATGAACCCCCCCGGGGAATAAATTGTCATTGTTGTGACGACATCTATGTGTGTATTGACTAGCTGAGGTGACAGTATTTTCCAAAAATACATATTCTCAGAAATGTGGCACTGAGTATTTTTAATTCTAATCAGTAATAGTTATGAAAAATGACAATGATCACAGGAGTAAAAGGAACAGGAATAAGACAGGAACACTGTCAGGGTCGTGTTGGGAAGAACATTGTGATTTATGGTAAATGATTGTTACAGCCCACTAGCTGCATGTCTTTTTGGGTCTATAGTCAGGCCATAATATAAAAGCAGAAAGGGTTCCTAGCTATGACTGGTTCAGTGTGGAACATGTTAATGCGTGTAGATTAATAAACAGACCTCAGCATCTTCTTTCTCCTCCTTTTTCTTCCACAGTCAACCAGTTCATTTATACTAGAGGCAGCAAATAGACCATCCCTTCTTTTTAAAATGGTCACAAATAGTGATGAAGTAGAGTGCAAACAAACAAATTAATACTGTATATAAAGGCTAAACAGCTGAATATTTAATGTGACCCTGTCCACATTGTATGGATTATATTTATATAATAAGGATCTTTCCTCTCACTGTCCACAGTGTCCTGTTGGAGAGAGCAGGCTCACCTGTACCCAGCTGTGTTTCCATGAAGAGTGACGGGTCAATGGCGGAACCAATCAGCTTCAGGAAGGGACCTTTTCCATCAGATCAAAGGTAAATGTGCATTTAAACAAATACTATTTATAACATTAAGATTCTCAGTCAAAAGGCATACAGGTACACACACAAGCTATGAAGAAAAAAACTTTATAATGAATGCATAATGTTTTTAACTTTTTCAAATCCCATTGTCTTTGAGAATTTAAACAGAAGTTCTGAGTTTATGTCAGGAAACTAGCTGAATACCCCTTACTATAGGTACTGTAGGTACTAAAACCCCAAACCATAGAACATTAAATTGCAACTAATTTATTAAATCC